AAAAAAATGACTTATTTAGATTTCAATTTCTTGCAGTGTGATTTCCCTTCCAACAGGACTGGTACCTGCCTAAACTGCCAAAACTACAGCTTTGATGAACATTACTGTGCTTGACTTGTCAGCTAACTCTCCCTACCTGTTACACATCACTGAGGCAGTAATCCATGCAAAAGTTCTCCTAAGTAACCACTGAGCAAATAAACTGTACAATGCAAGGAAAGATGGCTATTATTTAGCCTCCTTGTTTATCCATTAGTTGTATGTAAAGCTTTTCTAGATCAGCTGTAACTCATAAACATGAAATATTTTCACTTCTTTTTATTCCATTCATTATTGTTCTTATAGAGGATAAGATTATGAGGCTGTTGCTGCTTCATACCGTGAGAGCGGAGAACTTCTGAGCGCGTCCTGCGCACATCAGGCAGAGGAGAGCCAGAAGCGGCCAGACGCGCATCCTGACGCAGCGCAACGATCAACTCTCTGCACAATTACGCACGGTCCAAAATCCTCTGCGCTCCACCGCAGTACGAGACAAAAAAAAAATGGACGGAAAGAAAAGCGATCAAAAAAGGCCAAACATCCACTCTGCCTCTTTGGGAAAGTACCTGCGTTGAACAGAAACGCACTGATGCTTTTCTTTCGCTCCGTTTCCTTGCTTTCTTCTGCCAAACCGCTTCTGGAGAATCTCTCCTTATTTCTGCCAGGGTAATAAACCCCCCCGCAGCCCTGACCTTTCCCCCTCCCCTGGTGTCTTCCCTCTCTCTCTTTTCTCCTTTTTCAGAGTCAGCTTCCACACCCCTTTCCCTCCATACTTGATTCTGTGGAGGAGATTCCTTATCGGGATGAAGGCAGCTGCGCAGCCGGTGGGCAGGTTGGAGGTAGGTGGGTTTGCTGCTGGTAGGCGCGTCAAACACGTCAGGTATCCTCTGCTTTCATCCCACTCATCCAAAAATGCACTGAACAAAATTATGCAACCGCTTTTAGCATTTATTTAATCATATTTAGTCACTTTAACAAAACTGTTTTATGTCCTTCCCTGCTGACATCAAATAAATATGTTAAAGTAACTAAATATTATTAAATAAATGCCAAAAACGGTTTCATTTTTTTTACAGTGTGCATTTTCCTCAAGACTCTTTTATAAGGTTTAATTAATAAAATATAATTATTGTTTTTAGACAGTAGAGACAAATAAATAAATAAAAAAGAAAACTCACCACTCATTGTCTGAATTGCATCCGTTGGAATCTCAGTTTACATAAATTGTGGCAAAGGGAAACTGCTCTGTTCAAATGTTTACAAAATATATAGAAAAGTTATCCAAAAACAAAACAAAAAAAAAAACATACAATCTATCTAATGTTTTCTGATGATTTATCTGATCTAATCCTGCCCAGATTTAATCCAGGGTTTGTTACATGCAAGTAATGTTAAATATTCAGGTGGAAACAACAAGTTAAAATGATAAACTTGAAAAACTAAACATGTCCTCATTTAGCCAAGCATCTCAAGACACCAACCTGCTGCTGTAACGCCACCTACCGGTCATTTTGAGGAGTGGCTGACAGAGCCAATACAAAAAGAACTTTTATTGTCATATATATATATGACAATAAAAGTTATTTTTGTAATTGTATTCTATTTGTATATATATAT